AGAGTGAACATATAGGACACTTAGGTGTCTAAACGTCTGTCCTCTGAGAGGATTTCCATCCACCACAGTCTGTGAGGGCATCCTAGTTACGATTACTATTGCTCAGATGAAACACCATGACCTGAAGCCAAAGCATGAGAGGGAAGAGTTTATTTGGTTTGCCCTTCCACATTGTAGTCCATTACTGAAGGAAGCCAGAATAGGAGCTCAGGCAGGGCAAGAACTGGAGGCAAGAGCTGATGCAGAGGCCTTGGCTTAGGAGGGAGGGGTTGCTGCTTACTGGCTTGCTCCTCATGGCTTGCTCAGCCTGCTTTCTTATAGAACTCAGACCAGCAGCCCAGGGATAGCACCACCCACCATGGGCTGGGCCCTCCTCCATCAATCAAAACTAAGAAAATGCCCTACAGCTGAATCTTATGGAGGCATTTTCTCAAATGAGGTTCCCTTCTTTCATATGACTCTAGCTTGTGTCAAGTTGACCCAAAATTAGCCCAGACAGAGCATCATCCCCAATAGTGCTGGAGCATGGCTCTGTCCAGGTCTGAACGGTGCTGGCTAGCACACTGCACAGAGGCATTCTTGAATTAACCTTGTGGTTTTGGGGTTTTGGTTGTTTCTGTTTTTGTCTTCTCATTTATAAATTCCTGAAGAGTGTTTGAGACAGAGGGAACACAGCTGCAGGTACAGCCAGCTGTTTATGTCACCCACAGGTGCATTCTTGACCAGATTGGACTGTCCTCCCTGTATCTCTCTATTCTGAAGATGGGATGCTGTGGTACAAGACCAACGTATAGCTTGTTGGGTAAGGTACCCAGTTCTGCATCGGTAATTTAAATGACCTTATTTCAGCCCTTTCCCATCAATATCCTTACAACTCCTAATGGAGCTGACTGTTGAAGTTATGTTGCCACTTGGTCTTGATCTACATTCCCAGTCTTCTCCAGAACTACAGGAGAAATTCTTTAAAAGCTTCCCAGGAGAACCACCAGCTCTTCACATACATAGCCACAGCTGCAAGCTTGGCACCTCATGTCCCAATTGGACTCTCTGCCACAGCCACCACCACCACCAGCATCACCACCACCACTACCACCATTACCACCAGCATCACCACTACGACTACTGCCACCATCATCACCATATCAACACCTCCACCACCCTACCGCTATCACTACCAACATCACCATCAGCATCGCCACCACCACCATCACCACCATCACTACCAACAACAACAACACCAGCACCAACACCACCCCACGCAGCAGTCTTGGTGATCAGCCTCATCTATACACTAAGAGGAGAGGGAGATGAAATATCCAAGACAGGAAGCAGCTGCAGACCAGCCTGAATTTCCAGTATTTGGCAGGACTTGGGTGGGCAAGGTTCCCATTTGTAAATGGACATCCCAGAAGAGCCTGATACAGCTACAATCTCAGTAGGAAGCAGAAGCTGGGGCCCTAGAACAAAGCTATTCATGTGGAAAAATATGGAAGATGCCACACAAAACCTAAACTGCCCATACCAATGAGGCCAACAATGGGGACACCTACTGCAGAACCTGACATGTGCTCCAGATGACCCTTAAGTCTATGGGCACCTGTACAGTGGGAATACCTACTGCAGGACCTGGCGTGTGGTCCAGATGACCCTTAAGTCTATGGGCACCTGTACAGTGGGAATACCTACTGCAGGACCTGGCATGTGCTCCAGATGACCCCTAAGTCTATGGACACCTGTACAGTGGGTACACCTACTGTAGGATCTGGCATGCACGCTGTATGACCTCTAAGTCTATGGACACCTGGCACAATGGGAGAAGAAAGATAGTGTTAAACCAACAAGTGGCTGTGTGGTTATTTGAAAGAAAGTGGCCCCCAAAAGGACTGGCACTATTAGAAGGTGTGACCTTGTTGGAGGAAGTGTGACATGGTGGAGGTGGGCTTTGAAGCCTCATATATGCTCAAGCCATGCACGGTGAGCTAGACCACTTCCTGCAAGTCAAGCTGTAGGACTTCCACTACTTCTCCAGCACCAGGCCTGCTTGCATGTCACCATGTCTTACCAGGATGATAACGGACTAAACATCAGAAACTTTAAGCTACCCCAATAAAATGGTTTTCTTTTGTAAGAGTTGCCCTGATCATCATGTCTCTTCACGGCAACAGAAAAACCCTAACTAAGACAGGCTACACAGAGAGATACACTACTCAGAGACCCTCCTGGTTTCTCTTCCTTTCCTTCCTCCTGACCCCATCGTGAAGAACTGAAAAGCAGAAGAGTGATTGGCTCAGAGCCAGACTGTAGCTCCACTGTTTTTCTTGCAGTCGTGGACCAGAACACTATTCTAGGGCTGGGAAGGGAGGAAGATCTGAAGCAAGTTGGATATTGAGTTGTACAATTGATTGGAACTGCCCTTGTAAGTAGTTGAAATGACTGGAATGTCATGGAAACGACCCTGGCTATCATTAAGGAACCCGCTACACAATGGAAGATGATTCAATAGGGTGGGGATCACACTAATGACTATAAAAGACACAGAAGTTTTCCGTGCGTGACACAGGGCATCAGAGTCTTCAGTCAACTCTTCTCCAGTGTTACCTGAGCCAGTGACCTCATTCCACTCTCTCCTGGCTGAGTTGTATTAGCAGTCTGGCAACTGTCTGCCCCAGTGTGCAGTACACCCTTCTGTCAAGTGCGTAGGTTGTTCAAGGGTGGCCTTGAGTTTGGGGACATGCCTTTGCTTACCACATAGAGGATCATCAACCATTAACTAGAATCAATAGTCCATTTAAGAGGATATAGGCCAAAGGGCTTTTGGGGAATCTATCCTGTTAAGAAGGGAAATGGCACAGAGCAAAGCCGAGACTACATGAAGGAGGCTGCTAGAGGTGGGAGTGGCCAGCACAAGGAGTCATCCAGACTGATCTGCTCTCTGTTGACAAGAAGTGGCCAGAGGCACCTGGCTGACATACCCAGCAAGAGAAGTCAGTGGTTGGCAGGATGTGACCAAGGTTAGGGCCTCCTTAGCATGCCGTGAAAATTGCAGAAGAATAACGGAAATCCATGCTAAAGGGTTGAAGGGCTTGGTGGTACTTCATGAAGACCTCAGTTCCCCTGTCCCCACTTGTGCAGCAAGAAAATGCCAAGGCTCATAGAAAAGATATGAACCTCCTTAATGGCATAGCCATGATCTTACAGGTCAGTTAGAAACTGGGGATAAATGGCCAGAAAGCTAACTTTGCTAATTCTCTATTTTTTTTGTTTTGATTTTTGTATGTCTCTATATGTCTATCTACCCATCCATCATCCATACATCCATACAACCATCCATTCATACATACATACATACAAAGGTATTAGGACTGTCAGGTTGCACCCTCTTGGGAAGCAGGGATTATCTCTGGAAACCTGGAACCCCATCTTCTGTCAGCACTCAGTTGTCCTAAAAGAACAGCCAGCCCCAGCAACCTCTAGACTTTCCTGCTGAATATGTTTCCACTGTTCCCTCCTTGTGGACATGGAGCACGGCTCTGGAACGTGGTGAGACAAAAGCAGAATGGACCTGTCTTGTGCCTTTTCCTTGGCTCCTGACGCAGCTGTCTTGGAGAAAACAGAGAAACAGGGAGCAGGGGTAACCTTGCTGTCAAATGTGAGCTCAGGCCTGTCCCTTTCGATGCCAGGCTGACTCTCTGCTGGAGGTCAGGTCAACTCTGAATGCTCCAGGAGTTCCTGCAGGGGAAGTGCTGGCCTCACTTCTCTGAAGCCTATGGCAGTCGGCAGTCCTCTGCATAAGAGCAGCTTTGTGTAAGACCCTTCATTGCTCAGAGAGAAAATGAACTCCCCCCCACGCAGGCCAGGCTCAAGCAGTACAGGGAGCAAAAGCTGCTCTGATGCCCCCAGGAAGCAGAGAGGGAACCAGCAGCGCTCAGGGCCTGGAGCCAGAAAATCTGAAGACGACACCGACTCTACCTTTCCATCCCTTTACTCCCCCTGGACCTGAGTCCACACTTAGGACCGGGAACAAGGCTGCCCGAGTCACTGAAGTTATGTTATCACCTATGACAATGTACATGACACAGCAGACACAGCATCTGGTGTGTAAGTGCACAGCAACCCAGCTATCCCCGTGGCCCTGAAACTGAAACTCCATTCTGAAACTGGAGAGCAACTGGATAGGGGTACCAGATGACGAGGGACTGTGTGGCCAATCAAAAGCTCAGATCCTTTTCCAGGGAAGTCTATCAGGAGGAAAGGTTAGGGCAGGGGTTCAAGGGAAATTATCTTCTGTGGACCCACAGAGGACAAAGCCCCAAGGCACAGCCAGAAGAATCCAGAGAAGATGTTCAAGTAGGTAATGGCAAAGGCTATTTCCAAGGACAGACTTGCATGGGGAGACAGTGAGAAGAAATACATCCCGCTCAGGGGGACCCAGCACATGGCCCCTATTCTGGCCCTGTGCACATCACAACCCCTATCCATCCCAAAGCCCTCTGCTCTGCAGAGTTCACCAGCAGCCTCGCACATGTGTGCCACACAGAATTGGGATCTGGCCTGCATAAGCCCCACTGCGGTGCAGCTTTTCGTCTGCATTCCAGCCCAGGGTCCAGGCATAATCAACACAGCCATCATCACCAGACTGAAGCCACAGAACAAGCTTGTCTGGGGTCCTGCCCCCGGATCTCCGCCAGCCACATTCCACTTGTGGCTTAAGGGAAAGATCCCAGAATGGAGATACTTCGGGGGCATCTCCAAGGGTGAAGGTAAGAGGGAGAATTAAAGACTACACACTGGCAGTCAAGGGCCAAGAGGACCAGTGGCATCTTCACAGGGAGTACACACCACCTCGAGGCCACTGTGTTCCCTGCTGGTGTCCCACTAACAGCAGCCTCGGCTTTCCGGTATCAGACCTTGAGCGTTTGGGCCAGGAACACCATGAAACCTTCTAGGAAATGGGGCTTTTCCTTCAGAGGAGGCCACCCAAAGAAAGAGGCACCAGCTGCCAAGGTTTTAGCCATTTTTATTTTTTATAAAACAAGCTACAAATACTTTCCCTTGCTCCCTCCCTCCCAAGGGAAACCGATACAGCACAGCCTGCACCCATCTGTGAAAGAGAAGAGAGCTGGGCAGATTCTGAACTCCCACGTGGAGGTAGCTTCTCCAGGTACATGTTTTCTTCAGGCCAGGAAATGGGGCTGGAGTCTGCCGTGAGGGTCATCCAGGTCCCGCACACTGTGGGCTTTTTGTTTTTGTCAAGGCTCCAAGAAAGTGCTTCTTTTCCACCTTACCATGTCAGGACAGGGTCACTGGTCATCATGGGACAACATGTGTGACTTTCTTCAGAACAGCAGGAACCTTCTGAAGCCAAGACTTTATCAAATCAAGTGCCAAAAAGGCTATGGTCCCCACACCTGGGCAGCATGTACGAGGCCAGTGCCTTCCAGACCCAAGACAGAATAGGGTTTAGCATGGTAGAAGCGCTTCGGGGAAACTGAGATAGAATACCAGACAAGCTCAGATGGCCAAGAGCAAGTCAGCGAAAGCACCAGCCCTGAGCTCCTGACCTCTCTCACTGCCACCATGACTGACCATGGAAACAGCTGCTAAGGGTCACTTGATGTTCTGATGGAAGACCATCTGAGTCAGCCTAGCACTTAGACAGAAGCTGCTGCTTGTCTGTCCTGAAGGCTGAGTGACCACTCTGCAATCCCAGTGACTCCCTGTGCACAAATCTAGATTCCCCTGTAGCTGGCTTATCCCTCCTATTCCTCTTGGGGAAGCAGAAGGAAGGGACACCACATAAATTTTACTTCTAGGACTGGTCCATAGGTCTGGAAGTCCACGAGGGAAGCTGAGGGACCCAACTCCGGGATTGGTCAACAGTGGGGGCTGACCCAGTGGGTGAGGGTGAGAGATGGAGGGGGAGTAAGAAAGTAAACCCAGTCTGACACTAGGGTTGGAAGAAACACACTTGCAGACCCTCTCCTGTGGGTTTGCAGAAGGCCTGGGGCAAGCTTGTCATCTTCAACATTCTCTTGGATGGTTTGGGACAATTGTCTATATTCTGTCAATTATGTTTTAAATAAACGTTGATTGGCCAGTAGCCAGGCAGGAGGTACAGGCAGGACAACCAGACAGGAAGTAGAGGAGGGTCAATGAGAAAAGGAGAATTCTGGGAAGGAGGAAGCCCATTCCTCCCCAATCATGACCCATCCACCGAAGAAGGAAGGTGCGAATTCCTCGCCAAAAAAGGTACCGAGCCATGTGGCTAATATAGATAAGAATAATGGGTTAATATAAGTTATAAGAGTTAATAAGAAGCCTGAGCTAATGGGCCAATCGGTTAATCATTAATACAGACCTCTGTGTGATTTCTTTGGGGCTGAACAGCTGTAGGACCTGGTGGGAGGACAGAAACCAGGCAGGACAAAAACTCAGACAACACTTGGATGCTAAACATCTGTTAAAGGAAAGCCCTGCTGGGTGCTTCTTCCTCACACGTTTGGCGTGTCTCCTCTGGTGCCTACATGGGGAAGGTGCTAGACATGGGTGGCAATGTTTGAAGTAGCCTAACTCAACCCCTTCAACATTATGTGCTCAGTTATTTACCCTAGACTACGAAGGGATCTTGATAGAGGGGACGTGGGCCACTGAAGAATTTTGAAGTCCATGCTGGCCGTCACATGAGCTGGGCTCTGCTCATACCCAACCAGTGGCCAAGTGAGTAGACTCTGGCAGCAGATGGCATGGAACAGTACCCTCTTCCCACCCAGAAGAGAACAGATGCTGTCCACAGAACAAGCACAGAGTCCCTCTCCAATGAAACCACGCAGGTAAGCAAAAGATACAGTCCAAGAAGGCTGGACTATGAGTCCAGAGAAGGGAAGGGGAGGGAGGGGGCAACAGTAATGCCAATGCCTGTACAAAAGATCTATACAATTTACATATATATTTATATACAGTATATAAATCTCTTTCCTCTCACCCCCAGTAACAACCCCCCCTCCCCAATAACCTAAAATTTGTCAGTAGCAGATCCAAAATCTTAACCAAAGAGAGAATAGCGGCCTTTCTTCCCTTTCCTGTTGCAGCTGTGGTATTAGATAGACGGTGTGTACAAATGAAACCGGAAACAAAACACACACAAAAGAGTTATTAAAAGTGCAAACATGGCGGGCACCACTTATGTTACATGGGCTGTGGCTGGGTGTGGGCAGCGCTGAAGGCTAGGTGTCTGATGCTTGGTCCTGTCTCCTGGAACTCTCCACTGGCCCTTTGATTTTTCGGCTTCTTAGACAAGGCGTCCAACTGGGAGGGGAAGGGAGAGTGAAGAAAGAAAAGAGAGATCAGCCAGAGGTTAGAGCCGGGCACATAAAACGTTCAGCTACATGAGTGAGTTTCTACACGAGGCCAGCCTTTGCACGCTGGGTGTGGACTGGGCAGGGCACCGCTTGCCAGGGTCTTCTGACATGCACGTCAGTTCACAGAGTCTGGAGTCAATTTGGAACTGCCAAAACCTTGCCGGCCAAACAAGCACACGACAAGGGTGTGTTCTAGCCAGATCACACTACCTCAGCCTGGAGGGAACAGCAGGTGTCTGCCACAGGTGGGGGTGACAGAACCCTGTTAGCACTGACGCCATCTTCCTCCTACGCTCCCACCAGACGCCAAGCGATCTGGCCGATTGCTTTACTGCTGAGTTGCCACAGCTTCGGCAGGGGAACCAGAGAAGAAAGAGGGAAGGGCCAGAAAGAAGGCAACTTACTGAATGGGTTTGTGCCTGCTCGTTTTCCCTGGGGGAAGCTGCCAAGGCTACCACCTGCAACAAATAGGAACATATGACATGGGAGAGGCCTTGACCCAGAGAGATGGCAGAGCTTGTGTCTGAGCCCCTGGCCCCTCTGCCTTCAGAAGCGATGGAAGTGAGGGAGGAGCCGGAGTAGCATGGTTGTGCTCCTGTTCCGTGGGTGCCTATTGCTATACTCTGCCCAGTAAGCCATTGTCCACCTCTGAACTGTAGTCTCGATTCTATAGGTCAGGCTCAGGTGCTTCTCTGGTTTATTGCTGCTGCTACTCCTGTTGTCATTGTCACTGTTTAAGTTGAAGCAGCCCCCTCTCTGTGTAGTCCAGGCTGACCTTGAACTCATGCTGGCAGGTACCAATAGAGAGAATAAATAGACCTTTTATTTTCATTTTCCTTTTCCCACTGTGGTATTGTACACCACTTGGGATGTCTCTTTGGAATCCCTTCGACTATGAGCTAAGAATGACTTTAGTGACCATTGCTATAATCTTCTTGGTTCTGGATCTCTGGGTCCTATAACATCAGAGGTGGGAGGGACCTTACCCCCTTCACTTGCCAAATCTGGAGGCAAAGGCTCAGAGTGACTTAGGCAAGGTCCAAGAGACAGTCTGTCAGCACCCAGCCCTGTGCACAGGCTGCCAAGCTACCACCCCATCCTGTGCACAGGGCTACCACCCCTCCTGTGCACAGGCTGCCAAGCAGCTCAGCAAGCTAGCCATGGTGCTCCTTTAAGACCTGATCTCCCAAATGAGGAACATACCAGGAGTCCGGCCATTTTCCTGTGTCTCTGAGCATGGCTCTGGACCTCACAGGACAGGACCAGAAGATGGAATTAGGATGACACCCATGCTGCTTCTACTCTGCCTCCCATGCAGGACTGTCCCAAGTACCAGATGAATTCATGGAGGTTTGGGGATTCAGTCCTGATGAGCCCACGCTGATCTATAGACTGTATGACCCCACAGCTCAGCATCTCCCAACATTTCTTAAGACCCAAAACAGATTAAATAAGGGTAGACGTTGGTATATCCAAGTTCGCCGATGAGGTCACAAATCTAGGACTATAAGAGGAGCAGGCCAAAGTCACGCAGATGGGAGAAAGCAGAGCCAGGCAGCATGACCTTAGAGTCCACATTTACTCTGCTCCTCTCTGCGGCTGCGGCTCTCCGTGGCAAACACATGAAGTACATAGAAAGAGGAGACCCGAGGCCATTCTGGCCCTGCTTCATCAGTCGAGAGCCACAAAACAAAATGGAAAGCCAGGAGCACATCCCTGGGCCTCAGCAGATGTATATAAAAGAAATGAAGCTAAGAAACCAGGATGGCACAGCATTCATGGGAGGTAGCAAACCCAGTATGGGCAGACAGTCACTGGACCCATGCTCTGGAACCTCTGAGGGAGAAGAGAAGCGTGAGCCCAAGGGAAATCTGGGACTTCTAAGCCACCGAAACCCTAGTCCTCAGGCTGCTTGCCTTACAGGATGGTGACAATAATCCTGGCAATGTGTTGTATGGGTTGGGAAAGACAAGTTAATCAAGACGCCCAGGCCTCCAAATGTCAGCAGGCTCTGCTATGCTTGCCAGGGTGTTCAGCTCCCCAGTGAGAGTTCTAGAAGGTAAAAGAAGCAGTGTTCATGTGGCATCTCCAAAATTCTGGTTCCTCAAACCCAAAACTACACTCCTCAAGTACCACGCCCTCTCCTCCCCTACCTTGGACTCCCACCTGGCATGCAAGCCCCTCTCCGGCCAGCAGAGGGCACCACACAATACCAGATGACCTGTGTCTGGGCGTCCACAGACCACCCAGTCAAATGGCTGTGTCTCCCCCCCCCCCCCCCCCCCCCCAGCCGAGGAAAGCCTCGGGGCTGCTAGCAGCACTTCTGACTCAAGGGTAGATTCCTCTGCCACTGATAGCTCCTGTGTGCTCCCTGAGCACCCGAACTCTTCCCCACCCTCCGCCTGCACTACCTTGTTAAGTTCTCATATCATATATCCAGGGTAGACACTACTTCCTCCGTTTGACAGAGAAGAAAACTGAAGTCCAGAAAGGTGAGCTACCTTGTCAAATTACAGAGCTAGAACTGACAGGGCTGGAATTTAAGAGTCAAATCAACCTGATGTCGGGGCCTCTGCTCATACTGACATCCCTACTTCTGTCTAGACAGTGGGCCTCACTCTTCCCTGGGCTTCTCCAAGGTCCTCCTGCTGGTACCATAGGCCTGAAAACTGGCTTCCTTGCCCGGGCACTGGATGCACAGCTCCCAGCAGGCCTTACCTCTGCTTACAGAACCCCAAGGCTACATTTGCACCCCACTGCCTCGGATTCCTCTCTGGCCCAGACAACAAGGCTACATCTGCGCCCCACTGCCGCGGATTCCTCTCTGGCCTCTCTCTTGACTTGCCCAGACAAGGCTGGCCTGCTCACAAGAAACAGTCTTTTCACTCTGGGTCCTCTTCATGGAGGACACAGAAGTTAGACTTCAAAGTCCTACGGGTGAGCCAAGCACTGGCAACATGGCTGTCTCACAAGTGCAAGCCACTGTCCCTCCACCTCGTCCAGACTCTTCCATGGCAGAGCAACAGAGAGCTCTGGGCTCTAAACTCCAGAAGCGGTGTGTGCTGTGTGCTGTGTGGAGGAATAGAGGGGAGAGAGGGACCCCATTGTGCTCTCTGTGGGCTTTCCATCTACACAGCTTCCCATCCCAACCTTAATGGTACCCCTGCACCTGCCTCCTGTCTCAATGCTCTGCTCAACCCATTCTATCACACTCACACACACGCATGCATGCACACACACACGTGCGCACAGGCACGTACACACACACACACACACACATGTACACACATGTCTAGTCATAAATATTTAAATAGGGCATAAAGGGCTGAGGAGACAGCTCAGACTTTAAAAGCACTTGCTGCTCTAGCAAGAGAACCCAGATCCAGTCCCCAGCATCCACATGGTGGCTCACAACTGTCTGTAAGTACAGTTCCAAGGGGTTCTCTTCTGGCCTCTGCAGGCACCAGGCATATGCATACACGGAGGGAAACACTCATACACACACAAAAATATTAATAACTTTTAAAGCAGGCATAGACACATACACGTGTGTACACACACAGATAGAGACGCTCTTAGACAGGTACCTAAACAGGCATGCTCACAGAGACATGCCAGAGAAATACATGCAAATTACAGATGCGTGCAGGCAAGTCACAATCATATGTGCAAACACAGGTGCTCCAGTCACCTTTGAATGGGGGTCAGGGAAGGTCAGGAAGGTAGGTTGGGCAAGAAGCAGGAAACACCTCAGGGGCCTCTGGAAAAAAACTGTTCAGATGACTCAAATCTACACCCTGCTTCTGGCTGAGTTTGGTTGGAGGAGCATCCCGAACTCCCAGCACAACAAGTGGATGCAGTGGGACAGGGTCTGGCCCCGACATCTCTCACTCAGTTCCTAGTGTCCCTGGGTGGGCCTTCCCGACCCAGGGGCTCCTCACTATCGAGGGAAGAGTTCTCTAGCCTTACCTTGTCTCTTGCCATCCTCCCTATGGTTGCTATAGCCCAGTGACAGAGTTCCGGTCCGTCAACTATGAGACTGTCCCAGAGAATTACCTCGCATGTCCAAACTTACTCTATGTGATGGAGGGGGATAAATCAGACCCCCATCGTGACCCTGAAGGCCCATTGATGAAGGCAGCAGGGTCATTTTCAGTTTGATTCCTTGAGGTATATAGAACAGTCCCTATTCTTAGTCTATCTCCTACATCCCACATATAACACACATGCATGCGTGTTTGCACACACACACACACACACACACACACAGTCTGGAACTATGCTGCCCTACTCCACAGACAAGATAAAAGATAAGCAATTTCTCCTAAGTTGAGTTATGATTATGAGTGAGGTCTGGTCTAACCAATACATTCCCATAGTACTGATCACAAAGTACGTGAACAACACCTACTCTATCTCCTCAGTGACCTGTGTAGGAATAGGAACCTTATCAGTCAGTTCTACGGCTGCAGCAGGCATCTGGCCCTGAAGTACAGCCCTCGCCCAGTAAATAGCCAGTGAAGAACACATGGATGCCTAGGACCTCATTCCTTAGGACAGCCCTTGGTCCCTGTCCCCAGGCCAGGCACACGGGGGTTAGGACTCACCTTCTTTGCTAACACCCAGGCAGCCCTTCAGCTCGGGCAATGAGATGACCTTGTCCTTGTTCAGGTCACAGTAGTCGGTGAAACGCCGGGCACATTTCTTGGGCTTGGCTTTCTTCTTGACATAGCGCTTGAAGGGCTTCATCTCCCGCTTGTTGATGTCATCACTGTTGTTGCTATCCAGCTGGCTGAAGTACCAGTGTGCCACTCGCTCCTCCAGGGTATGACTGGGATCTGGCTCTGAGAACCTGGGCCACGGACAGACAACCCCACCCCAGAGAACACCACTCAGGATCCTGCAAGAACCATCCACCCCGCTATGGTTCTCTCTCAAATGTCCCAATGCCAGGGGACTTGCTACAGTTAGGCATTTGTCCCTGCCAACTCATACTGAAGTTACAGTGTGTTTGTGTTGGGGAGTGAGGGTAGATAGACCCTTTCCTAAGAGACTGGGTCAGCCCTTACGGGAATGGGTTAGTTCTCACAAGAGCAGGCTGCCGTGATGCAGATACCCGCCCCCACATCTTCGCTTGTACTTCCTACTTCTGTTTTCCACCACAAGTAAGTTGAAGCTGGAAGAGGCCCACACTGGAAACCATACCGATGCTAGCATGCTCTTGGACTTCCAGAACCGTGAACCAAAATAAACCTCTTTCCTTTATAAATTACCCAGCCCAGAGTATTTTTGTTGCAGCAACAGAGACCAAACCGAGACCATCTTTATGCTGGGCTACCAGCCATCAGGTAGCAATAGTTCTTTCCTTAGGGGCCTCTAAGTGATCTTATTTCATTGAGCTAGCTGCCTCACCCTCTGAAATAACCAGGATTATTTCTTGTGCAGATAGGCACTCAAGACAGACTACGGAGATTTAATCCACCTGAGGAAACCATGTCTAGAATCTAAACTGTCCTTCTCTTGACCCACAGATCACTGTCAAACAGGATGCTTTCCTGAACTTGTGTCTGGGAGCCAGCACTGAGTATTCAACACACCCAGTGCCGAGACTCAGAGGAGCAGAATCCAAAATATGACGATGGGCACAAGGGATGTGCGATGCCCCCACGACCGGTGGCTTTGTGCTTATGTGTGGAAGTCCAAGATTTGTGTCTGGAGTCATCCCTAATCACTCCCTCACTTGACTCATTGAAGCAGAGTCTCTTGGTTAAAGGCGCATCTTGCCTACACAGATGGTCTAGCTCTGTGCCCACCTTCTGAATGCTGGAATTACAGATGTGCTCCCAGCATTTACATTAATTCTTGAGACCTGAACTCTATTCTCATGTTTGTTGCTTGTACTTTGCCTGCCAAACCACCCCTCCCCCACCCTACCTCCAACAGAGATTCTAAAGCAAGCAAACTCTAGATCTAGGGTGAGTCCCTACAGCCTAAGGTTTCCACTCAGGAGGTCTGGGGTGGGTTTAGTAGATGATATGCCAACCAGAGCCCCTGCCAATTCTTAGAGAAACTAGAGTGACCAGGAACATGCCTTGTACCCAGATACAAAGCGATGACCATATCTGACATAGTCCATATCTGCAACCACAAAATTACAAGGCCAGTATCTATATGTATAAGTACATGCAATGGCCCACCTGTTTCATTTATTACTTAATTATTCATGCACCATCTTTACTCAGAGAAGTCAAAGAGACACTAATATTTATAGTGTTTAAAGTCAATGATAGGTCAGTTACAGAGGGGTTGGTCGGAGTTTCTGAGCAGAAGAAAAGAGGCATGAGTATCCTAGTTTGCACACACTGAGGATGCAAAGAAACATCCACAGCACTTGACGATGTGACATCCCACATCCCTCTCGGGTTTGTTTTCTGGTCTAGAAAGGAGGGGATCACTACTCATCCCTGGCCAAGAACAAGCTGGAAAACTCCATCTTGCTTCACAGCAACTCCCAAGGGACACGAAGCTCAAGCAAACAGAAGCTGCATCACCAAAAAAAAAAAAAAAAAAAAAAAAAAAACCAACAAAAACAACAACAACAAAAAGCCACCATCCTGTCCATTCTTAATGATGTGGCTTCCGTCTTGGGTAAATCCCCCAGCATCCTGGATTCTAAGAAGGATGTCAGTAGGACCTCATCCTGACAGCTTCCACCCAGAGAGAACCTTAGGGAAGGTGTGACAGCGCCACACTGAGTTGTCACTGGTCTTTGACTTAATCTGCTATAGAAGCCAGGTGCAGGAAGTCTGAAGCAGGCCGGCCTTCTCTGCTGGGTGTCACCACCTGTGTCTAAGTGGTTTTCTTCTTTCCTTATTAGCTGCAGCACCCGCTCTCATGACTGCCCCTGCAGTATGCACAGGGTGGGCAGGCCGAAACTCTGAAGGGATGCTCAGGGTGCAGGAAGGGGAGCATCAGGGAGCCCCCCCTCCAGGCTCTGGAGAAAAGAACTCCAGAAGGCTCTCTGTGGGCGGGGCAGTCAGGGAGCTGTGAGAGCCCCAAGGCAAAGGCAGCTCTTCCTTTAACCTTTAGGCTCGGCATAGCGTAATGTCTACCTAAAGGCTGAGACGGGAAGGAATGAGGTCATCCCACCCAGAGGCCCTGCCAGGGAAGGCGGTCTCCCTCCAACACGTGTTCCAGGAGCGCCCTCCTGTCCGACTGTCTGTTCTCTGCAAGTCTGTGGTCAGAGCTCTTGCTACCTACCTTGAGGCTATTTTGCACCAAGAAGCAGTTTTTTCTACCTTGCAAGTTCTGAGTAGGCCAGGGGGTGATCATCACCTGGGCCCCATGCCTCTGCCATCCTGCCTCTCCTCCACCCCCTCTTTGCTCTCCCATCAAGACATCCCAGTGCAGAGCAGCCCTGACTCCCCACTGCAAGCCTGCACACTGTGTCTGCTGACAGTCCACAGCAGAATGCTGGGCTATCTGCAGGCCCCTTTTTTTCAGGAGAGGCCTTCTGAGTTCCTTCCAAGCCCCAACCCACAGTCTACCATGTAGGAACTAAGGGCTCTGCTCTGTCCCAATCCCCACCTCCATCCCAGAGATCACAAGGCATTGCTTTTGAGCCCTTCTGATCTCCACAAGTCCCCTTAAATTCCAAAACCTCAATTCTAGCCAAAGCTTGGTGACAGCAGGGGCAAACTTGGGAACCCAATATCTCTATCAGAACAAACTCCAAGAACCTTTATACTTCTGATCTATCAGTAGTTCTGGGATAGCCAGACCAACACTGAGCATGTGCAAGAAAAGACACCAGGGACCTCTGTGAAATGAGCAGTTCTGAGAGTCCCACTGCAGGGGAGTGCTAGAATAGAGGTGAGGCAGAATGTAAGGTTTCCCCCAGATTTTCCAGGAGCCTCTCAATCCATCTTTGCCAGAGACCCTGACAGCACTGACTCCTGCCATTTATACCCTTGACCTCAAAGTCATATCCCAGCGGCCCCTCCAATTCTCATACCTCTCTGAAATACAACCTTTTGCATTTTTCTTTTCTGACATTCATTCATGTGTGTGTGAACACAAGAATGCGGGTGCACATGCTACAGTACACACATGGAAGTCTGCAGACAACCCAAGGTCGTCAGTTCTCTCCTTCCAACCTAGAGATGCTCGGGATCCAACTCGGGTCTTCAATCTTGGTGGCAAAGCCACCTTCTCCTTCACAGCCATCTCAACAGCTCTCTGGAGGCATCCTTCTACAGAGGTCTAAGCCGGTACAATAGTATAGGCTGACATACACACACACACACACACACACACACACACACACACACACACACACTACTGGGGCCAAGGACTGCTGGGTTCAGAGTTGTTCCGCAGACTGGAGCTGGGACCCTATGCTGGTGCTGCCAGCAGCTCTTTAAGATCAACCGCATTTACTGATGCCTATAAGGACCCCTTCCATGGGTGAAGTTCTTCTGAAATGGATACCTGAGTAGGTAGAATGCCCAAGTTTTCTCAGTTGTAGTGTGGAAAAGCTACACCCAAATGACACCTCATTCTAGATTCAGGATATAGTAGCTCAGTGACTCTGCCTCTGGCCTATTTTAGTAACTTCTGCCCTCTGGGATAGGGAAACCCAGGAGGGCCAGGTCCCTCCCTGAACAGACACACTCAGCCTTCGCCCAATTTTCAGGGTGGTGAAGGCATCCTTCTGCGGCACTTTCAGTTTTGATTCTGTGGCCTTGGCCCTGGCAGGTTTTGGCTGTAACACACAGCTGGAAGAGCCAAGCCCGTTTACCACAACCTGCTTTGGCCAAGATCTGGGGCCCAGTTCTGCTGTCCTAAGCAGTTTTAGAGAAGGTAAGGAAGGCTGGCCAGGAGTCCTGAGCCAAGCCAAGCAGACCGGCTGAGCCCCATCTGGAGCTGGGTCCAAGCCCCAGCAGCTGTGCGGGTGGAGCTGGGAAATGCCAAGTCAGCCACATTCCAGACTCTTCTTTGCAAAGCCATCAGCAAGCACCAACTGCACTGAACCAAGAGGATGAGGCCACTCCACCCGCTCTCTCCTTAGGAAACATGTGAGGGAGTAGAAGGCTCACACAGATAAGGCTGGCTGTCCCTATAGTGCCCTAGACACTGACACCTAGATAAATAGCCTTCCTTCTAGGCGAAGGACGGTCTGAAAGAAGTTTGCAGTGCCCCCGCGGGTGTCCCAGTCACAGATGCTTCCACAGACACCCAACTAACTCTACACTGTCAATTTTAGATTCGGGCAGCACTGTTTTTGGCCACTGAATCAGGCTAGGAGGCCAGAAGGGGAAGCTGGCACTTTCTTCTCTCCCTCTCCCAGAATCTACCCAGTCTAGAGAAATCTATTTATTTGGATGTAGGATTCTTCAGTCAATCATCCCTCACTACTGAGTTGTGCTTCCATCACCCTCTTGCTAACAACTGTTCTCCTGGTCCCCTTGTAACTTCCCCTGGTTTTGCAATACAATACCATCAGGATGGTCATTCAAAAGTGCTTTCTCAATCACCATGGTCCCTGATGCCTCTGGCATGACTCAGTTGGCCCAACACAACTCGGGCTCTGTCCACCTCTGCAGCCCCATCTCCTACTTGTCCACACCACACCCTAGATCTGATCATACCATTTTGCCGTTCCCTTCATCTGCCCCACCTCGTTCATCGCCCACTGCCCACATGCTCCTCTGCTGGGAAGCCCTCGCTCCTGATACAACCGGGTCAGGCTTTTCCCCCTGTGTAAGTGAAATGTCACCTCTATTGTCAGCTCTCGCATGCCCTCCCCGCCCTGAGTCCTGGAACCTCTTACCGGCCTCTGTGATCACACTGGCTATATAATATATAATATATATATAATATATAATACCTCTCCTCCATGCCAGGGACAGTGCCCTTTTCTTCAGATGCCCCCCGGGAACAAGCATAGAGCTTATACCAAGGGCAGGCTGGGAAGTAAGAGTCAGGACAAAGCCATGTACGACAAACACCATGTCTGATGAGTTGGGGGAGGGGATGATTGACTTTCTATGCCACCCAAACATTCTCTCTCCCTTCTTCCCACAGTCTCCATGAGGCACTGTTTCCCACTGGTGTCCACTGATACCCTGCTTTAAATGTTAAACCCCAAGAGGGAAGGGCTGGATATGGCTTCTTTACCCTCGGATATGCCTGCAACCCTTGCTCTCTAGTCCAACCCAAGTCCAACATCCCGGAATTCTGCATTTCCTGATTTGCTTCATCAGCCCTATTCCATATCTGCTGCCTGATCTCCAAGAGCCCCGTGCCCCTGTCCCTCCATCACAGAAGAATGGCTGGCAAGTGTCTGTCTATACAGCATCCCAAGTCCAGCAGACTGAGGCAGAGTGCTGGGGGGCCCTGCTCACAAAAGAATCACAATGAGCTTCCCTATTGCATTCAGCCTTACATTTAGACTTGCAATAGTAACTTAACTATCAGGTCTACCCCTGTCTACTGTATCTCCCATCCTTCTGGCTAAGCATCCGTCGGCACATGTTGAGTATCTACTATGGGACCTAAATTCTAGGAAGACATCAGGGAAGAACCTCTGAGAAGGGGATCTGTCACTTTACCAGACAGTCACCAGAAAAGGGGAATGACATTCTCGACTGAAGGGGCAGCTAGTGTGAGGGTCCCAAGACAGCCCCTGTAACCTGTGGAAGGAAGCTGGAAGGACCATGACAGTGGGAGGGGAACGAGAACAAGAGGCCAGCAGGACCTTCCTGAGGGCCATTCGGGTACAAATCGGGGCTTCTGCTCAATGCAATGGGAAGATCCAGGAGAGCCCAGGAGGACTAGCAACTCTGGTGCCGCCCCGTGCAATGCTTGCCCACTTTCTTCCTTCTTCACTCCACTCTCTTGCCTGATTTCTAAACTATTTCTTGGTCTATGCTGTCTTCCTGTTGATTAAAAATTCAGCCCTTGGGTAACACATACCCAAATAGTCCAAACCTCTCAACCCTGTCACAACCAAGCATGAGTAAGTTAATAAAAGTTTAAAATGAAAACCGTGGTTGGGGAAGTGTTTTTTAAAAACTTCCTTGACCCTAAAAATTACACCTAAAAGAGGAGTTAATTTTTTTCACATACTTCCCTAAGGATACACTGGTATGAAAGACATTGTAAATTTCCTGGTTTTTATTGCCTGTAAAAATCTCTTTGTCCTGCGACATGAGAGCACCGATCCTAACTTCCCTTGGTGGTGGGGCCTGTCTATGATCCCCTTCCTACAGCTAAGACCATACAGCCCTAGGTCCGTGGCCCTGTGGAAGCCAGGAGAGGGGGGTGTTTCTACAGGGCCTAGACAGAACTTGCAGCCAGAACCCCTGAGCTGGTGGGTTGGCCCATACAGTCCCACCCAGACCTGCGATTTTTCTGTGCCTGTGCATTCTCCCTTATTTATGTTTTCTCTCCTTTTCTAAACAACATAAAATACAGAACTCTAAATGCACTGGTTTTTCCATATATATATATATATATATATATATATATATATATATCTTGACAAATCCTAATTTACAAATGAAGAACATGTATACATGAAGCCGCAGAAATAACCAATAATAAGATCATTATAACAAAACATTATAATAAACGTTATCATAAGCTTATAGACTGCTTTCTTTCTAGAATTTTCCAGTCAGTTGTTTTGCTCTACAGTTGGTTGTGAACACCTGAATCGATGAAAAGGGATACAGAGGACAAAAAGGGACAACTGCACTTTGTGCCTGGGTTTTCATCACACAGCTGTTGCTGAGCAAGCTCCGGGCAATTGCACACTGATAGGCATGTGATCGCGTGCATTTGCAACACTCAAGCCTTCCCCTTCTCCTGACAACCAGGTGCATCGCCCCTATTTCAGATGTGAGCTGCTGACACCGGGGGAAGCCTTGGAGCAGCTCACATCCATGATCTGTCAGACCCTGTCTCCATCTTTCTCAGATTCTGTGTTGTGCTCCCTGAGAGGGAGGCCTGGCCGGCATGCCCCAGGTGAGAGGAAACAAAACCATTACCAGAAACCAGCCTTGACCTCATGGAACCCTGAAGTGCTCAGATTAGGCACCCAGACAAGTAGTTTAAAGAAATATAGCCAGTGTACACGGTTTTTTTAAAATTTTGTCTATGTGAGATCCCAGATCGTGAACTCTATGCTCCGAACAGGATAATAAGAGCATGGTACTACTTAACCATCGTGACTGGCTGAAATGTGACGACTATTGACTAAAATGTCCCCATTTCTGCAGGTATCATTGCACACATCTGTGATCCCAGCACTCAGAAGGCAGAGGCAGGGGAACCACAGCAAGAACAAGGCCATTGTTCAAAATCGATTAAAAAAATAAATCAATCAATGAACAAGCAAACCTCCATTTCCCCCTCCCAACAGCCCTGACAAGCACATTTCTGTACCCTGACTCTTCAGGTTTGGCCCACACAAGTGGAACCATGGCCACTTGTCCTTTGACTTATTTCACTTAGCATAGTGTCCTCAGTGTGACACAGTTGCCTACTGGAAACCGAAAAACTAGTTCATTATACACACGCCCACACATTTCTCTACTAACTCGTCCTTTGGTGGAATTTAGATTATTACACACCTGGGTCAGGAGCGCTATAACTCTGATGCAATGCAAGTGGAATTCTCCAGCTGGCTGACTTTGTCCAGCTGGGGATGCAAAACCATTACAGCTGTGATCATGGTCCAAGGTCCCATCCTAAATCCCAGCCAGTGGCCACTGCCACACTTGTCTTTCTAAGGGGACTGGAGTCCTTGTCATTCTTTGCAGCAGCTCTGCTTCCAGGGAGATGCTGGGGAATCAGGGCCCCTTTGGTGAGCCACACAAGCCCAGTGCATGCTGCCCATCTTTGGTCCATGCCTTGGTACCCCTTCTGCTGCTTTACGGAATCTAAAACCCCCACTCTTCCTTCCTGACCCGTCTTGCCCCTGCTATGACTTCTCTCTGGCTTTGTAAGTGCAAGTCTTCCTTCGCATGTCTCACAGAGCCTGGGACCAGGAGTCTACCATCCTCTTCCATCTCTTCATTATCGCTCTATCATCTTCCTTCTGCTTCTCCTATTCTTTCTCTTTCTCCATCCCCCAGCCCAACCATACTAAACTACACTTACCACACATTAGATATGTCTAATATCTGTCTATGAGCTAGTATACTCACTCCTCTGTCCTCTTTGAGGGGAGGGACATCCTCCTATTCCTGGATACCATGGTCAAGGACTTGACATACTTCAAAGAGTGCTCAGAGGATGGATGCGTGCATGGCGGATGTTTCGACCACTGGCACAATGGGCCCAAATCAGCTGGCTCCAGAGAGTCTGGCTACCGGAGAATGTGTGTGTTTCAGCTCTGGTACTACTCCTGCTACCATACTGACTCCTGAAACAAGTCCACTTTGTCTACGGGAAGATGAGATTCTAATGTCCACAGTTCTTTGTGATTGCCAGGAGGTCAAAGGGACACATGACTCCTGCCTTCCCAGGGGAGAAAAGAAATCACTAATGCCTGTGGTCCTCTCCACTCTGCTGGGTGCCCTGTCCTCATCTGATGCCCACCACCCTTCTTGCTTTTAAGAATTTTCACTCCTGGGGATGTATCTCCAGAAGAATGCTTGCCTGGCATCTGTGAAGCCCTGGATTCAATCCCCACTACTGCAGAAAAGACTCTCACTCTTATGTCCCCCCTTTTGGGTAAAATATCTGTATTTATAGGCCTGCAAACCCTGTTATCAAAGCTAGAGGAAAGCAGATCAATATTTTCAGAGACCAAGAAGAAGGTAAGTTTTCACCGACAAGTAGAACAAAGCTGTGGGCACAGGCTCTGGAGAAGTACAAGCTTCCAGCCCCTGACCTCTCTCCCAGCCCCTGACCTCTCTCCCAGCCTCCCGTCCTATCTGAAGAGTCCAGGACTACACTGTACTGCACCTGAGTCTCGCTCACATTCTCACCTCCCACCTCCAGTGGGCGCTGCTGAGTTAATGGCCTGAACCATGTCTGTGGTGAGCGCATCCAGCAGGCTGGTAATAAATTCCATCTTCTTCCCTTCTGGACAGCCTAAAAGACAAGAGAAGATTTAAAGGCAGAATCCAGGTCACTTACCAAGGCAACAGCTTCCTCGAGCACCACCCCCTTGGAGTCTTTGTCCAGCCAAAGACTGGGGATGTGTTCACTGCTCAAACGATTGCTACAAGCCTCCGCCATTCCCCTATGCCTAATTCACAGGGGAGCACCAGACCCAAAGGATAATAAGGCTGTCAGCTTCCTTCCATCCCACGACGTCCTGCTGAGTACCAATGCAGGCACCATGTAAATGCTAGGGAGAGAGCAGATTGGGTCCTTGGCCTCACAGACTTCACAATAATGTGCCGAGCCGAAGGACCCAAGATAATAACCAGACGGGCACTGTTCATATGAAAAACACCGCTCTAGGGGCAAGAACTAAGCATTGTGGAAGCAAAAAGGAGGAAGAGAATCCTCATGGTTGCCAGCAGATTTGAGTGGACCTACCAAAAATTTTTTTAAAACGCCTCTTTTTGCCCATCTTTTCCCAGCTGAGATGATAAACTAGACTCCTCCGTGAATTCCCACGGTTCCTCGTCTTGTTTCACTATCTCAGCAAAAGCCCAAACATGGCTAAGTCTCCTCACAGGTGTGCCTGTCCCACATCCACGCCACAAAGATGAGCATTGCTGGGGAAACAGCCCCCCACCACTGCAGCGACGAGAGCCCTACTCACCTGCACAGCCGCAGCCCCGCCTCTACCGCTGCAGCAGCTAGGCCCTTCTTCGAGCCCCGCCCGAGGTCTCAAGTTAATTATGATCTCTTAGGGCAGTGTAGACCCTAAAGTGGGTTCTTGCTGTCATGCCCACAGTGCCTCCCTCTTCTCCTGAATCTCTGTGTGCATGCCTTCCTTTATCATCACATGACTCGTCTCCTTTACTCTGTGAACCTCATGTCCCTGGGCACTGGGTTAAACCGTGTCTGGCACAAAGTAGAATAGTTATCCTCACCCTGTTGAGGGGTGGCCAGAAGAAGGTACCCTGGCCTCCAATTTCGTGACAGTAATTTCTACTGACTTCACATGGAAAGTCCCGGACTTTCGGGACTCTCTGCTCCCAGCTCTCATTTTGGAGTCCTGACGGATAATAGGAAGATGGCACCGGTTCCCATCAGTAGAGACCTAATTTTGTACTGAGTAAAAACTGCTAATAAGCACAAGCTTGGATGGCTCCCACCTCTACAGAGGTGTGGGGGTGTTTTCTCCAGCGATGCTCCTTGTGTGGGTCTAAGACCTGGGAGAAAGCATCCCTGTGCTTGGGCTTTCTCGAGAAAAAGAGGGACTTGCAGGGAAGAGTCTGCAATCCACATATCCTGTATTTAGAATTCTTTCGGTGACTCAGAGTTCACTACAAATAAGGGGAAACCCAATCTAGTGGCAATTTAGGGGTCCTAGGCTCTTGCCAGCGTATCTCATGTCACCCCTAGTGGCCAGGCTGCGTCAACAAGGGTTATCATAAAAGCATCCCGCAGAACAGGTGGCAGATGCCACCCAGACCCCTCAGGGAAGCCACTCCTTGTAAGCTGCCTTTGTTTCACAGACCTCAAAATATTGTACCCACTTCACCAAGAAGGAGAATCGTCATCAAATTCCAGGGACAGAGTTTTAAGAGCATGACTATATTTCTAAGAGGAGGAGGAAAGAGCATGGGAGGGGAGCAATGTTCTCAAGGGCACAGGACTAATTCCCGATGCAGATTCTATGGTTTCTGGGTCTATACTCCTATGATGGAACTTCCCAGCATGCCTTGCTCTGCGCTGCCAGTTGGGAAAACAGACGTAGAGGAGAGAGTGGCCTCTGCACGGCGAGGGGACCAGAAGTCCAGAGAAGCGAAGGTGTCGGCAGTAGCAGGGCAGTGTCCCCTACCTGGCAACTCCCTGTCCTTGAAGGGGTCGTCCGCCTCGGCACTCTTGGCTCTACCTTCACTCTCACAACTTGGCATCACATAGCTGGGAGGAGAGACAGAGAAACGAGGTGGGGGGTCGGCAACGGAGTCTTCTTCAGCCACTACTGCCCGGGAATGATCTGTGTAACCACTAAGCTGAGAGCCCTCAGGGAGGAAAATAAAACAGTCCCTGAACTGTCCGGCAGCTACAAGACGATCCAGCATAAATGCTCCCATTGAGACATGTTTAGGCATGTCACTTTAGCCATGCAAGCGTGATAACAATGCCATCTCCAATCTGCACATGGGACCTTTTTTTTTATATATATAGGGCTTTGTTCATAACCTGGGTGGTACAACAAGCCTTTCGTCGGGGATCTGAGGTTGAGAGAGATGAAGTAGTTTTCCAAGGTCCACAGTTAGAAAGGAACAGGTCTGTGGTCAGAACCCAGGTCCCTAGACCCTCATCTGTCTCCCACGACCTGATTCTGAGAAGCAGGGCTCTGACGACAATGGCAGCATAACCAGAAGCTGGTCCCCGTGTGATGCTCTGAGAAGAGGTCTTACCGTGTGGACGTCCCAGGCACTGGGCGCCCCGTGTCCACTAGGACACACCAGCAGTAGCCCGTGGACTGGTGGCATTGCACCGGTTTATAAAGCCCGCCAGGGGCGCACTCTGGGATCACAATGCCCTCGCGGGGATTCTGCCGGGCCTCTTCCAGGGCGCTCTGCCTCTCCTGGTCACAAGAGTGGACTTTCTCTGTAAGAGAAGATGCAGCTTCTGGTGACGATCATGCCTCCTTCGGTCCAGAATCCATAATAAATAGCCAGGACCAGTCCTGTCCCCAAGAAACTAATGAATCTGCCCAGACAACCATGACTTGCATTCTGCCAAGGTAAAAACCTCAGCGGGCCAGAGCCTCCCTATGGGCGTCTTCACTGCCAGAGGCTCATCGGCGCTTTCACCAAAGAGGATCGCATGTAGCAGCAAACCAGCCAGGGCTTCGGGGCTACTTCTCCAAGTAGCAGTTTGCTTCGGAACTGGAATGTTCCTCCATTTTCAGAGGTGTCCCTCCCTGCCTAGATACGCTGTCTACAGGCTTCAGGAGAGGCAGTAGAAAGACTCCCTAGTCCAGGCGTGTCAGGACAGAACCAGAGACCACCACCCTTGTCCAAGGTGATGTTCTATACACAAATGGAAGAGCAACAAGCGCCAGCCTTGGCTCCTTTCACCCTCCAATACAGGCAGACAAAGAAAGAAAGCTAGTGGGCAGATTCCTCTATCCGACAGGAACAGAAACAGCAGAGGCAGAAGGTGTCTGTACTTGGTAGCTTCAGGAACACGCAAGCATGTCCAAACAGCCAAACCAAGTCTCTCCATAGCCAGGTCCAGAGACAGTAACTGGGGCCCTACGCCAGATGCAGCCTTCTAACAGAAGCCTTCACTCCTGCAGGGCCCTTCACTGGAAACCCTGCCCATTAAATCACCCTGGCTTCTCTTCCTGATTTTTTTTTCTTTCTTTCTTTGACTGGGGGTTTTATTTTGGAGGTAGGAAGGGTTATTGTTTGATTTTAAATTTTTGTTTATTTTAATTATTTAGAAAGTAAAGTGTTGAGCTTGTTTCCTTATCACAAATAACATTTTAAAAAAATAAAATCTGTACAAACCATATGGCCCCCGAACGTAACGCCTCCACCTTCCTTAGATCTTGTCAGGCAAACACCAATACAACTTCAAGGGGATTACACCAGAGCCTTGGGAGAGCTCTCCCAGATCCAATTTGGTAGCCTCATTTTCCTACCTCGTATTTCATGCCATGAAAGAGCTGACCAAGAAACAAAGGCAAAGGAAAGCAGCTTTTACGGGCACCACGCTCGTGTAACGACCTCTGACAGGGTCTTTAAATCAGGACTCTCTAAGGCCAGCCTCTCCAGCCATAAATCAGACCATAGCAAGATGCAAAGGGGAAGAGGAGGAACTCCTCCCCCTTCCACAGCAGCCGTGATGAACCTAACTTCACACCAGCAGGCCTGAAACCTGGAGGAAGTCGGAACAAGAGCTAGGCAGGAAGAAGGGCAGATCCCATGGATGGAGTTCTGGAAATTCTTAAAGGTTTACTGTCAGCTTCTGTGAACACATATAGATAATTAAATCATAAAAAGGGAAGCTCTTAAATCTATAAAAAATACAAATTAGTGTGGAATTAAAGAGAAGACTAAATATAGGATTTATCACTTTAACATCCACTCTGAAAGTCTGGGTGTCCTGTAAGAAAAACACAGCAATGCCAGGGCAATGGTTCAGTAGGTAAAATGCCTACCACACAAGTATGAGGACTTCTGTTCAAATCCCCATCGCCCATATAAAACGCCTGGCATGGGTACCACAATTCTACAGCTCCGCCAATCGGTGGGACAGGAGCAGATCCAGGAGGATCCCTGGAGCTCATTGGCCAGTCATCCCAGACGAGCTCCATGTTCAGTGAGAGGCATTGTCTCAAAGAAAATAATAATAATAATAAGGCAGTGAGTAATCCAGGGGGACAGCTGACTTTGACCACTTGCCTTCACACTGAGTACATACATGTGCACCTCACCCCCACGCCCATATGAATATGTACACACACACAGTACCGAACATTTGTGAAAAATAGGCAATATGTCTTCCAGAAAGGGAAAAAAAAGAGATCTCTTAAAATGGCTTTTTAGAACTAATGATGCAAGCAAATATTCCTTGGATGAAATGCACCAGCCAGCAGAAGAAGAACTTTGACCTCCTAGCCCACCCATGTTGGGCACTATTATGACTCCAGCTTTGTAAACAAGAAGAAAACAAACTCTGGAGAGCATGCGTTTTTCTCAAGTTCACTCCAAGATGGAAGACCTGGACTCTCCTGGAGGATGGCAGACATCCAGTCCACCTTGCTAGCCTTAGCCACCTGCTCTACAGTGAGAACACACTTGTTTTGACCTGGGTTCCTCCAGGACAGGCACCTGGCAGACTCTCCAAGAGCTCCATTCAAAAGCAAATGTGTTCACACACACCCCTCCCTCTGAGCGATCATTCCCTCTCAACCTAAGCGCAAGAAGCTTGGCCCTCAGGATTTCTGTCTCTTTGACTCAGAACTAGAAAACCGAAAACCAAATGCGTAGCTCACCCACCATTATAGAAGAGAAAGCATATGAGTACTTAGTGTGAGATTGGCGACGGGAGCTCTATTAGTATTAATTCAATTCGCACTGCTTCCAATCTTTGAAATAGGTACTAACATCAGAGACACAGTCTGGCTAAATGATCAAGATTATGAATTAGGGGCCTGAGGCTGTGGCTCAGTTGGTATGCTTGCCTGGCATGCCAGAAGCCCTGGGTTTGATCCCTAGCACTCCAGAAACGGCGTGATGGTGCATTCCTGCAATCCCAGCACTCAAGAGAAGAAGGCAGGAAGACCAGAAGACAAGCCTAAGACACACAAAGCTCTATTTAAATAATAATAATAATCAGAGTTAGGAGGAGGCAGAGGTGGAATTCCAGTCCAGCCCAGCTGTGTTCTTTCCCTCCCTACAGTGACATCTTCCACGGCTACAGGCTAACCCAAGCTTTATTTTGTTCTCTGCTTTTCTTTGACTTCACCCTCCAGGGTCACTGTCTCCAACGGTTGTGTCTCTGTGCTCTTGCGCTGGCCAGTCCACGTGGGCTCTAGCTGACTGGTTTTAACACACAGGAGAACAGTGTGGTGATGGTGGAGAGTAAGCCAGGCCTTTGGAGGTCTTGTAGCTTCTGCTTTCACTGTCAATGAGCCCTAAGGACACCACATAAGGGGGCTACTCTAGCCTTCTGGAGGAGCAGAGGCCACACAAAAGGAAAAAGGGAAATCGCACAGCCTGCTGGCACACATGGCTGAGGTCAGTTTGGATGTTCCAGCCCCATTGGTCCTCCCCTTGAATGAGCTGAGGAGCCAATTCATGTAAAACTTGTGAGACAGCCACACTGTCAACTGCAGACACACTGGCAAGAACAATTCATTTATCTGTTGCACTAGTAGGTTTGGGGTAGCTTGTTATTTAACAATGGGTGCCAAATATCTAGCTAGACCTGCTTAATTCTTTGTCACCTTACGCCAGAGGGCTTCTCGTAGCCCCTGGAAGCCTGAAAGTGATACAAATACTAATTAGTAAGTCCTAAGTAGACTTGCTACATATCTGAGGACCCAGAAGGACTCCATCCTTGGAGCTACCCTCTCCCCTTCTCCGTCACCTCCCAAATGAGGGTTACCACCTACCTCTATGAGTTATCTCAGAGGTTGGCTTACAGAATGCAAGCCAGGATGACTTCAAGGGTCCCTTCAGCAACACTAACTCACAGATCAAGGAGCTCTGCTGACTCAGATGCACACTGCTCTGAAATGCCTCATCTCTGCTTAGGAAAACTTGGGAAACAGAGATAAGATACGAAGGTATGACCCAGTAACTATGAGAATGGGCCATGGCTGCCCATATATGCCTGGAAGATATAACACACACCAGAGAAGAGCGAACAAGGGGATGGAACCACACACACTTGGACACTTCCACACAGCCCTTCCCAAACCTGCCCCCGAGATGGCGCTGAGCAGAAAGAGCTCAGTCATCCTCCACCTGGCAACGGAACCTCAAGAAGAAACACAATGGAAAAGCATCTCAGGTTGGGAAGGTGCAAGGCCTTGCCATCAGAAGACACACAGTGTGTCTCTCCCTGGTCACACATGGTATGGGAGAGAATGGGACCAGCAGAGAACAGCAGCGAGCAAAGTTGGAGACAGGGCTGGAAAGGCCAGCATGAGCTAGATGAATGTCAACCCTGTCTATGGGCCCAGAGCCCAGGTCTTCGTGTGTCAGCCAAGTTGGGATTCGCATAGAGGACATCTCTATCTGCTAGGACTGGCTCAGGTCTGTGTCTCATGATTGCCCACGGTAATTAGGAGCAAAGGAGAGCACAAATGAGACCAAGTCTCAGCTAATCCCCAGTGTTCACTGGAGCCCAGAGTTTATCCTCTATTCCGGGACTCTCCTTCTTTGTCTTTCCTTAATTTTTACATATTTTTTTAAAAGCAAAAATGACCAACAAACAAACATTACAGGATTTGGGCTGGTCTTGCTTTCAGGCTATTGACTTTCAGAGAAGGAAGATCTGAGAGGAGGAAGGGAAGAGGAAGCTGAGTCTCCTGGGTAATCAACACTTCTGCATCTTTGAGTCAAGTCATCAGTGACCAGTGGGCGGACCTTACTGTGAGCTTTACCGTGAGAGACAAAACGAATTTCAAGGCGGGGAAAGTAAACAGTAGACAGAGAGGAGGCAGAGGGACTGTAACACTCAGGGTTCTACACACACACACACACACACACACACACACACACACGATGAGAGGGATATTTTTAAGGACTAGGTTCATGAACTAAGGATATAGCAAATCTAAAAAACATAGGCAAATCAGTCAGGTAGAAATGCAGGTACACAAGATGAGGCAATTTTGGACCAAGATCAATAGCTAATGCCCACAGTTGTAGGACACAAAAGCAGGGCCTTCACACGGCAGCCTCCAGGTTGTTGTTGCTGTCTTCTTCTTTTTCTTCTTCTTCTTCTTCTTCTTCTTCTTCTTCTTCTTCTTCTTCTCCTTCTCCTTCTCCTTCTCCTTCTCCTCCTCCTCCTCCTCCTCCTCCTCCTCCTCCTCCTCCTCCTCCTTCTCCTCCTCCTCCTCCTTCTCCTCCTCCTCTTCCTCCTTC